CTGCTTTCAATAAACGGCGAAATACAGAAATCGCTTTGTACGTGCATTATCGTTTGAAAGTAATGACGGTCAACGACAGGCGGGTGGCTGAGGCTTAGAAGGATGTAGTCTTTTTCCGTGAACGCCAAAACAGCCCCTGAACATCAGATGGAAATATTTCTGAAGCAATGCCAAAGTGAATAGTTGAAAGGCACTACTTCCTGTAGAAAATTACACCTCCGCAGGACGGACAGACCTTTTTGAAAGCATGGAACAACTCTAAATTGTGGCGTGTCAGGTGTTACAGCTATGTGCGAAGGCGAGGTGGGACTCACGTCGTCGCAGACATGAAAACTGGTCTGCGACCGAACACCAGTTCTGGCTACAGACAATTTGTTAATAAAGCATCCTTGCAATCCGACGGATCTGCTGCTTTGAATCGTCAGGAACACCATCTTCTACGTGATGTCAGATTCATCCTGTTGATCATATCCAGTCATCAGAGTCCAGAGCAGCAAAGTTAGGGGGCATTTTTTATTCACAACGAAACCTAAAATTTACAACAGTAATAAATCCTAATAACTTATATGACTCTGGTCTGAGAAACACGTAATGAGCAAGAGGAGATGAACTTTACACCGTTAATGTTTTGTGGATGAGCCTTTTAGTTCTCCAGTTATTCATCTTGTAATCAAAGGAAAGCAACGGTCGACCATGACATGCATGCAACGCGAATAAAACAAAAGCAGATCTACCTCCGCGGAACTGTTTGATATACGATGCTACTGTAACCACGAAGTATCGAGCATTAAGTAACTGATAGCGGAGTCGATTCCACAGACCAGGACGTTCTGAAGCTGCAAGCGGTTTAGCATGACGTACGTGGCACAATGAAGCAGTGTTTCGAGAACTGCTTAAGCAACTAAATTGCTAAAGGCTGTGTAACCTACTGACTTTCAGCTAATGTGGATGTATAAGTTGTGAGAATTATGTCTATTCTTGAAGAACACGTGCATATAACTGAGTAGGACTGCGGCATTACTGAATAAGATGTGAAGAAAGTTTAGTTACAGCAGTCATGCGGAACATAATGTCACCATTTGACCTATATTCAACGTCTGCTGCGATGCTACCAGTAATCTATGAACAACGTGGTTGCTGTCGATAAAACTGAGAGACGTATGACCTAGGCATGCAAAATATTGCAGTAAATAATGTCCATTGTTAGGAGCTACTAGCGACTCAGGACGCACTGTAGTTTGGCCAGCGATAAGCCGTGTACCCGCGCTACTATTGTCTTCAAAATAAGTCTGTACTATTTCCTCTATGCTTTAGATCACCTGATGACAAAAGGCACACTAACTGTTACATTTCCACAAGATCTGAAATAATCTCGGCTTGACAAAGTAGAACTTCGAAAGAGAATGGAATGCTGGTTACTTTTGGAATCAGGAAAATATGAAATACAGTTTAATTATGTACTCAGAAGCAGTGTCCATCGATGTGCAGTACGAACATTAGCAAAATGAAGATCAAACTTTTGCCTTACATGACAGAATCGAACAAACAGCGGCATATGCGCCCAGTGTCAACAGCAATGGCTAGACTGGCCACCTGGCTTAACGATCACACCTGACCATACAGTGTAATAATAAACTTCTCAAATTCATCGCTGTAACATGTACGAAAATGAATTAAGTGCTATACAAAGTGACCAGGGCAGTAGAAATTGTGGGTAAGGATGGACATCAAAGAATACT